TGCATACCTTTCTGTCTGAAGAATTTCATTTCATTTTTTCTGCGTTTTGCATCTTTTTGTTGTTTCGTATTAATTTATTGGTATACGTAATTTAAATGGACCCCCAAAATAACATGTTGAAATTATAATATAAATATATTTCCCACGTGCTATTTTTTATTTATTAAATATTATGGCTAATCGTTATAATTTGTAATCTATTAAGAGGTATTTCGTATGTGTGATTTATGTTGAAGGATTGAGATTAGAATAATTTTATTCAAAGAAATAATTATATGGTCTTTCTTATTTTAAAGTAGTTTTACTAATTTGCCTTTTTAATCCATATGTATACAAGTGAATAATTCTTTTTTTTCCAAAATCTAGCCAATTTAAAAATATGTAAAATCAATGTCATTTCTCATACACAATCAAGTAAACTCTTTAAAATACCAAACCTTATAAGGCGCAATAAATTAAAAAAACATGTTCACTAAAAATCACAATAAATTCTTTTACTATCCTAGAACTTCCCAGTTTTTTTCCCAAAATAGGATATTAAAAATTATATTTTCCTGTGTCCTTGTCTCGCTCATAAAATCGATACTGCAATCGTAAAGGACGAGGCGATCCTCGTAGCCATAGTCCAAAGGATGGGCGACTATTTATTTTCTGTGAGATAACCATCTGGTATGATTAATGAAAGTATTTAAAATATTCCGCTGTGGAGAAACGGCATCTTTTTGTATTTTTTATTGAAATAATAAGTAACATCGGAGAAGAGGCTGTTGTGAAATTCAATTTGCAGAAACAAGGATAGATAAATCAGCAGACAATTGCAGTTATCGATAAAAGCATCAAATGAAACTATTTTTTCATAGATTATCAATCAGAACTATTTTTAGTATACTATGATATTTGAGATGTATTCCTTAAGACCATGTTATTAGGAGGCAACCCAATGGTTGTTGTTTCTCGTTTTGTCCAGATTAATATTAGATATTTCCAAATTCCCTCAAGGATATTTTTTTCCCATATATCGCAACTTCGAATTCCGAACGGTGTGGCCTACATGCGAGTTGCTGTCGTAAAATTTCAGAAAAATCGGAAAATCTCGAGAAAATTATATGAACACACTTAACCATTTATATACCATTTTATTCATAATTTTATTCTGCATCTTTCGTACGAACAAAGTTTTATTATTTAAGTTTAGTTATACCCTTTTAAGGCTATTTTTACTCTAAATTATATTTAGATCTATAATTTCAAGTAGAAACTGATATCACTGCTGTTTCATATAGAACAGAACCTGAATATTGTGAATGCAAGACCAATGCTCTTATCCCAGAGACACGACAAGCTCAAATCACAAGGTTTACAAAAGATGTCATGAAATAGTTATTATATTTAGATTTAGATTAAAGATTTTTAATATAAATCACTAATTTAGTACGTGCGTACCAACTCCCACTTAATGAAAATAAGGACTACTGATATTTGAGAAGGATGGAACATTTTTTTATGTTATGATTTATTTTTGTTAATCAAGACTTTAATGTCTTATTTACAAAATTGATATGTGCAAAAAAAAGATAAAATACAAAAAATACAATAAGTTGAATATAATATGAAAAAATAAAATAAAAAACAGTAATACAAAAATAATAACAAATGAACTATGGCGTGATGAGTATGAAACAAATGAATTTCAATAAATTTCTGAAATAACCAACTTTTTTTACAATACTATATAGAAGAACAAACGATTTATAGCCAATATATATATTTAAGGTTTCATAATTTTATATGCAATAATAATTTAATTAGGTACTTCTGGCCAATAAGAATCTCATATAAGATTTTTCTACGATATCATTCTTAGATTTTATTTTAGCATTAATCTCGTAAATATCATCTACATAGAGATAAAAATTGAAATTGTATGTAACCCAAGAAAATTAATAATAATGGATGAACAAAAGCTTTTTGGTTTAGTCAAATTATCATTTTCCACAGTTCTTCCCTGGTCAGTGTGTTTAAGGTCACCTCAGCCCGGACAATGGTAGAGTCTTGGGGAAATAATAAATGTATCACCTGACAAACACAAGGACGGCATACGGCATATATATACCTGGCCAATTCTTGAAATTTTTCTTTTCACCAAACAGAGGTTTACTGAGAAATTGAACACCCGCATTAAATTCTTTACAATGCGTGAGGTATTTATTGCATCAAAACTCCTGTTAACTTTACTTGTGTACACATCGAGAGGTAAACCGCATAAAATGTACCTCATATTTGCATCTTGGACATAGATTATCGGTTGATTGCGATCTAAGATCGAAGATCTAGGGACAAATTGTATTTTGTTTAATTAGATTGTAAAGGGAGATGGATATCTCGAGAAAAGAGCAATTGGACACAGACCAGGAAATAGTAATCTTATTAAGATTTTCTAGCTAAGTCTAGATAAAAATCTAAAATTTTTAAATCTAAAATTAACAATTTAAGAAGATGTACTAAATGAGAACAATTATTATTGATCAGTCAATCTCTAAACTCAGATAATTTAATTTTTGATTTTATAAAATTTACTTTGTGTTGAATTAAATACTAAGATTTATTTTAAATATAAATTATTTCTGATTAATGGTCTAATTTAGAACCCCGTATTTTTTTATTTAGTGAAACGGGAAATAATATTTGAATTACCGTATCAGTCCAAAAATTAAAATACTTGATACCACCCAGCTTTATTTTACTATGATGCCCTAAGCCTGGTCAAAAATCTGACTATTACAAAGTCCGTATCTGGTCTTAAAGCACATCTTAAATGATTATTTGAACAAACTCATAAAGCGCGTTAGTTAATCCCCAAATTTTATGATCGGCATAAATCAATAGAGTTTAATTGCTGCTAACAAAACACACAAATTGACAAGCAAACAAGTTTTAATAACGCCCACAGGCTTGCAGGACTCACGTGTAAAATATTTAAATTAGATAAATACATTCGGAAAGGATATTAATAGAATTGATAGTATAATAGATTCAGCACATTTTAAAAAAAATAAAAAATATTTCTAATTGTTAAAACATTAATTTGGCATATGGCGCAACAATAATGTAGAGACAAAACGATGTATCATTTCTTTTGTTGATGATTTTTGTTAGTTCTTAATTAAATAAAAATAACTAGAAAAATTAAATTCAATATTCCATTTATTGCTTGTAATAGTGTAGTATTTTTATTTACCGTTTGTCTTCTTACAATATAAAAATAAGTCCTACATATATGTTTTCCAAATATTTTATTTTTACACCCGTGTCCATGATCAAGTCCTTTTGTGTGAAAGCAAGGAGCGTCACGAGGTAACAAAAAATGGAGTTAAAAATGTTTTCAAACAACACATAGTTCAAATTTTCAATGGGTCTTTTTTCCAGATTTATTTGTAAACGTTCTCATAATACCTGAGATAAAGTTTACGCGCCTGTTAAGTATTTAAAACCTTTACAAAGCAATTAATTGTCACGGAGATTAAGGTATTTGAGCGAGGAGAGGATGTTAGAGTAGTGGAACTATTGTTTTTTTGTAATGATATCACGAAATTTTATATGATGTTAAGGATTATTTATGTTTTTAAAACAATTCACGTAGTAAACGATTTATTTGAAGAGAAAAAAAATCAATAAAATTAGAAAATATCATAATTAATTGAAAGTTTTAAATACGCCATGGTGGAACGTGGGAATGAAAGTTTGGGAAAAACGTACAATTTTGAAATTATTTATTTATTAGTAATTATTAATAAATTAGTATTCTACTCATAATTGATCTGTCACGAGTTTTCCTATTAAAAACGCTTATGATTAAATTGCTAGTATTTAGTAATTAATTGTATTAAGTAATGGATTATGTAATTTTTTAGTTAAAAATTAAAATATTTGATAAAGTCCGCTAACTTTAAAATATTTCAAATAGAACCTATTTTGAAAATCAAACACATTCCATAAGGTTTTTTCTACTTTTTTAGTGAAGATATTCAAACATAATATGAAATCTGGTAGACTTTCCGACGGCAATTTAATTGATGGTTCACAGACAAAACAAGGCGGGTAAATACTAGACATGCGTTAAATTATATATTTAAAAAAATGCTTCTCGGAAAAATACATTACGTATAAATTAATACGTATAAGCAGTTTAACATTGTTGAAAAAAATAAGGACTAGGTTGGGCTCCCTATGATATTTTTATGTAAAATTTGTTTTAGAATCTAATACAAAGCATGAATGAGTCATTTAGTATATTCAATGCTAACAACAATATTCAATATAATTTAAGTTTTATATCTTCAAAAATTAATAAAAAAAATGAAATATGCATCATCGTGCTCCACATATTTATTGCCCCGCGGACTGCAAAAATTACCGATATATTTTAAATTATTATCTTAGCTTAATAATTCTGCAACGCTGTTAATAAATATAATACCTGGAATTACAGTCATTAAAAGTCCGAGAATAAGTGCTCACTGCTTTTATATCGTGGCACATACTTATCCTTAACAAATATGCGCTCACCGAGAAAAATGACACCCATAAACGGTACTACCGTAGTGCCATTTATTAATAAAATTACTCTACAGTATAAAATTATTAACTTTAATACTTTGTTATTAATTTTACGGCAACATTTCACGTTGTTCTCTTCGGGCGTTATTAATGAGTGCGATTTGTTCGATACAATAGATATTATTGAATTTTATTGAATCATATTGAACTTTAAACAGCGCTTGGTGTTTATGGCCACATGAATAAAATGATTTACAACGGTCAAATTAATATGGAAACGCTTTTATTTAAGATGACCTTTCTTTTGACAATGGATTTTGTTTGAAAAGATTTCGGGACATCGCTACAGGTAAGATCAACGACGAAAAAATTACGAACAGTTCGTACATATATATTGTTTCGCTTTTGTTATATGAAAAAACTGATAATTTACTTCCACTGACCTGTATGTGTCCTCTTATGTATTTTCAAGTTTTCACTCCTCGCAAAAACTTTTCCGCAAGCAGGAAACGGGCACGGAAATGGTTTTTCGCCAGTGTGCACCCTGATGTGGTTCACCAGCTTGTACTTCGCTTTGAAAGCTCTTCCGGATCTGGAACATCCAGCCCATCGACAAGAGTGATCTGCCCGTTCTGGACCTCCGACATGTTCTACCGTCAAATGGGAAACGATATCGTGCATGGACCGGAAAGTTTTTCCGCAAACGGCGGTGCCGGATCGGTCCGGGTCGAGGGTGGACAGGGTCGGCGCGTCGATGGCTTCGGAGTCTATCCAGAGACAGCGCAAGAGTTCTCCGCGCATTCCCATGGTGCTGGGAGATGCAGAGGTGGGCAAGCCGTCGCTTACGTGATTTTGGCGTGTATACCTGGAAGAAAATTGTTACAATTCTTAATAATTGATTAACATTGTTACATAGTTTTCGTTATATGTTTTTTTTGTTTTTTCATATTTTTAGCTTAAATACGCGTTACCCATGTTCAAAGTCACTCAGAAGTTGAGTGGTAATGCTCATGATTATGTTACGTACAATAAAGCGTTTAGTGGTGAAATTTCATGTTTGAGACTTTTCACCAAACTATAAACTATAAACTATAAAAGTACTTAATAGTAAAAAAATATAAACTCGATGTGATTGAAATTATTCTGTATTATACTGTATTACATTGCATACAGATATGATACTGAATTATAATAAAATATGAAAAATAAATTAGTTATAAATTTACTTTCTAGATTTTAATTGGTGTTACTTAAAAATATATGTTATATTCACTGTAATTTGAAAATATTATGTGATACAGTATTAAATATTATTAATTTCAGCATCAATTGCAGAAGGCTTAACCGTGCTCGTAGTATGATTTTTATAGAATATTATTTAAATGAGATATTGATTAATATTATTGAAATTTTATAATACCATTACAATTTTCAATGTATTTAATGACATTTTATACCATAAATCAAAGCATATAGCCTTACGCAAACTTGTAAATTGATTTCCGAATGTTTACGAGAATTCATCGTTTATTACATTTTGTTTATTTAATTATTTATTTATCGTTTTTAAACAGGTGGTCATATGGCTCTCGTTTATTTATTAAACTCAGCTTATAATTGCTCCATGTAAATCTTGCAATGAAAATTATTCTCCATTTTTAATGAGTTTGTACCGGATTTACTATAAAAATTTTAGTTAATTTTGTAACTCTAATTATATTAATTCAATTTAAACATGGTGCGCAATAGACCATGTTAATCAAATTAATTTTATTGATATTATATTATATATAATATAATATAATCTAATCTCTATATTAATCATATGAAATGTAAAAATTTGCACAAATAATTAGCTACAATTTAAGCTTGCTAAATGTTTGATAAATTGTATTAGAAGTAAGAAGGAAAAAAAGAAGTTTAGAAGATGAGAAGAACATATTGAGAAACAAGAAGAAAAATGAAAATTGAATGGAATTGAAGAAAGAAAATTGAATGGAAGATTAGGATATAAGAAGAGATAGTATATATATATGATGAATTTATAAGATACATATATGTAAGAATTGTATAGAATATGATGAAAAATAATATGAGTAATGTAGGTGGCTAAAAATGCTGCAAAGCGGAGGCCAATAAAAAATTTAAAAAAAATGTTTGATATGAAAACTAAACGCTCGGTTTAATAAAAAGTTGTTATAAAAAGATGATAAATCTATTATTTGTTACAAGTGTGTTACAACAATAAAACAAAAATTTAAAATCAAATATCTCTTATTTTACCTATAAAATGCCCCATGATACGACGATCCCGAAATGGCAGACTGTCCATTATGGTAAGGATATTGATTTATATGATGCGGATGATGGTAACCAGCATGGTGCATATACGCTGGCGCTTCATGGTGCAACTGAGAAAACAATCCTGGTTCCTGGTTCGAAATCTGGTGACTAGCAAAGGCGTCTTCTCTCCTCAACAAAAAATCTCTGGCTGAGTACGCTGGGTTGCCAACACCAGTGGTATTGGCAGGATTATAATGTTGTTGCTGGTGCGTATGGTGCGTTTGGTTGGGGAAATGGTGGTGTCCATATTGGGCACCAGTTTGTCCTAAAGTTGGTTCGGGGCTTAAGCCATCGTGACCGACTGGTGACATTTTGAAACCGTAGGATGCTAAGTGGTTATTGCTATCGGCGAAGGCGTTCATTGTAAGAGGAAATAGAAACTGCTTATTATTATAGAATATTGTACACACATTTAATGATGCACTAAAAAATCACTGCACGGTTGATGTCAAAGTTGATATAAAAATGTTTTTATACTATCAATTATCAATACCATAGCAAAATAGTCCATAAAAATATTAGATTCACTTCAACACTTCACCAATTGTTTTTATAAATTACACTAAGTACTTTTGACACTACATAAAATGTACATAATTACTACCACCTAATTATGAAATTTTGTATTTAAAGTCACACACAGTCAATTTTTTTTATATACTAATATCCTTGGTCCTTTAAAAAAAACTCAAAAGAAATTCACTTATACACCCGTCTTACATAACGTTCCGTGTACGACTGAGTAATCATCATCCTCCGCATGGCGCATGAACCACCAGGCCTCTATTTGTCGGGAGGTCTTGGTGGTTATTGGCGGTGCTCCGAGCCAATGAAAGCTCTATGGGCGGTTCCCCATGAAAATACGTAGGTAGGTAGATATTTCGACAGGTAAATGCAATCGGAATACTACAGGTAGAGATGAATATTTCGAACCTAGTTTGCAAGTCACGATTTTGGTGGAAATGTGATGATTTTATTAGGACGATATTGTGGGCAGGTTGTGATTTTAATAGTAGGTGATGCAAGCAAAATTTCTGGTTGAGGAGTCAATAATGAAATGTGTTTTGTGTATATAGAGAATTGTTACTTATCGGTTGTGGAATCATTTACAAAATTTATAATTAAATAATGTTATATATTTGTAGTTTATATTAAGTATAACTGTAATTTTCTCACATATTATCTCTTTAGTTTATCTCTTCAAAATGTAACTATATTGTATTATTGCCTTGGGGTTGAATAAATAAGTAATCAATTATATTGGTAAATTAGTAATATTTTACTAACTTGCTCGAAAATCACAAAGGTAAACTACTTGTGAATCAATCAGTTTTTTTACTATCACAATATTTATTATAATATAATTATTTGAATTTTTATTATTAGTTGAATGAATGTTTATGACTGCATTTTGTAAAATTTGTAACATAAAATATAATTGTTAGTAAATCATATAAAAAACATGTAGTGGTGGAAACTTTTTTTAATTTATTTTATAGTAGGTATAATATATTGAGTTTGTGTTATCATAGACATTAATAATAATCAAGAATATCTAATATAATAATAAAAATATAATTTTGAATTATTTTTTTCTTTCGTATGGCAAGTTAATGTAATCGTTCAAAAATCGAAATTAAATTTTTTTGCATATCTTCATGTTTTAGAGGTTTCTGAACATTTTACCATACCTTAGAAAAAATCGATGTGTGCATCGATATATATATATAATATATATAATGCTTGGATACAATTTTTCGGGCGCACGGATCAACCGATTTGAATGGTGCATTGATTTCTATTGACAGAAAAATGTGCTGATTAGTTTTTGGCAAAGGCAGGTCCATCCGTTACGGAGATATCGAGCAAAGAGTGCAGAAAATAAAAATCGAGTTTTTGATCATGTTTTAAATGATCTAAAAAACCTTCAATTTGTAATGATGGAAGAAGTGGTGATTAGTTTAAGGCAAAGGCAGGTCTAGCCGTTTTGGAGATACGGAGCTAAATGTGCAAAACATGGCAGTTTTTGGGAGAACTAAGCATCTGATTTAAATGATTTAAAAAACTTTCTGCTTGTGTTGACGAAACAATTGTTGCAAAAAAAAAAAAAAATTGAATATGAGATATCCTCCTTGCAAAAAAAATAATGTCTTTTGCTTTATTTTAATTCTATCTAAATAACTACTAGTTGCTAGTACGCTATTACATTTTATATCTTCCTATTAGCATTTAAATTGAATACAAAATCTATTACTAATAGATATACTTCACTAATATATTTCTCATTATTTTCTTACTGAATGAGTTTATATTACACTCCAAATAAAAATTTACTTTAGTTATTATCTTGAATGCCCCCGATTATGACAAATCAGGTTATCAAAGGATTCAAACCGTATTGGTAGGTACCTGAGTACAATACAATATTTTCAAAATTTACAGTTACCCATAAGAGAAATAGTTATATGACCTAGTATTAACGGTTAAATGGTTTTCTATAACAAATCCTTAAATACACAAACCAGAAATTATGGAATTGCGTTAAATTTATATTATTGGTATAAATGATTGAGAAAATTTTATTTTAGAAACTCTGTTTGAAATTTTGAAAGTTGTAATATTTGCTAATTAAAGTCGAATAATATTCAAACCATTTTAATAATAATACTCTAAAAATCAAATTAATTTTATTGAATCAGCAAGTTTTATAACTAAAATAATAGGATAATTTAAAATAATTTTCTAAAAATATAATAAAAAAATCTGTCATCAAACATTCGACACACAGAAGTTAATAATATAGAGAAACCTTGATGTACTTGATATTTGTAATTATTAAATTCATAAAGATTATTAGTTATAACTTGCAACTTCTGCTGTTAAATTTGACTTTTCTAAATAAGCCCAAGGTTTACAGATAATATCATTAAACAATTATTCTTCTCATTTAATAGTAAAGGTCATTTTGAATGATTAACTGATGTAATCATTTAAAACGATAAGAACCATCAATTTTTTGAAAATGCTAGTTGCAATGACACAGTTGTATTATTTTAAATTGTATTTATTTTAAATTAATTAGTTGTATTTATTAAATTGTATTATTTTAAATTGTATTTAATCTCCATTGTGCCAATAGAACTTTTTTCTCTTAAAATTTTTAGTTGTCTTATTAACATTGTTTTATATATATTAATATATATTAATCCCATCCTTGAAACTCAATATTTAAATACTAGAAAAATCCTAATTACGTCAATCAATTTTATAAAATTAATAGTTAAATAATTTACTTAAATCAAGGCGCATGGTATAGAAATGCCATCAATAAAACTAAATTAAATATTATATTCAATTTGTTTATCCAAGTATGTGTACATAAAATATGATATATCCTGGAATATTCTCTAGTATCATCGATAATTCAATATTCAAAAATGTACATTTAAATATTAGTTGAACAGAAAATGTCAAAACTTAAACCCTTCCAAAAATTTACTTTGTGCAACATATTCAATTCCAAAATAAGCAAAATTTTAATTTTCTAAATTAAGTGGGAAATTTTACTGCTCATTTCTTTGAAATCTAAATTTTAATCTAGTAGCAATATTTTATGTATTCAGTTCTAGCAATATTTATGACATGCATAAGTCTTTTATTTGGGGTTTGGCTACCGTGCAAATAAATATATCCCTAGGAGATTAACAGAAGATTATGAAGGATCGCAAAGTTTACAAGGGCTCTCTAAGAAAAGCTACTCGAGCAATATTTGATTCCTGTATTTATTTACAAAACAGAGGAGGATAGTAATAATAAACTGATATTTTGTATAAAAGATAGATTAAACTATTTGAAATCAATATTTCTCAAAACTCATTTTTTCACAACATAACTTTCACAATGAAAGCTCATGTATGGTAGTATGGAGTATCATTCGATTATATATTATTTTATTCAATAGATTCAGATTAAATTATATAGATCTGCTAGATCAGACATAGCAGACTAAATATTTTGATTAATTAAATCTGTTAACAACAAGAAATTATTAATTTGTGATGCTAGTATAGTCAAATTCATTATTTATTAAGTTTCTTGTATCACATTATTAAGATTTTTTACAGAGCTTTAATGTATAAAACTCGGCTAATAACTTTTTTTACTATCATGATCCATATGTCTATCGATTTTTATAATTTTATTTCAACTTGTATAATTTCTATGAAATTATTCTTCAATATTTTCTAATATTTTTTTAATACAAACCCTGTATTTTGTTCGTCCACCCTTTCCAAAAGGGTGTGGGTTATATACAGATATTTGTAATGTTAAAAATTTTGACTTCTTAAGCGGTTTAAGTCAAGGATTAGGCAAAAGCACTATTATTTGGCAAATAGGTAATCTTTTTTCATATTTATAAAAATAAAATTCTTATAAAATCTGACAGTTGATAAACAAAATTTGTTTTATAAAGATAAATGCTCTATCACTTTTTGCTAAGGAATAATCGTAGAAGTTGAAAAAATGGTTTTATAAGAATTGATGAAATATAAAATTAAAAACCTTAGTGTAATATTAATGAATTTGTAGGACTAATTAGCAACTCTTCTATTCTTATACATAAGAATAAAATAAAACTCTAATCAAGCTTTTATTAAGTTCATACGAAGTAAGCAGCATGTAAAATGTAATCAAACTAGTTGCAGAAAAATTTCTAAATAGTTAATGTAAATATGTTTGAATTATGTATGTATCATACATTAAATATTATATATATATATATATATATATATATATATATCCAAAGCAGTTTGTTCTTCTGTGTCACATATTACATTAATTATCTTTAAACTAGACACATATATATTTAGTTAATGCTTAGGAGCCCATCCCATATAATAATATTCCGAAAAAATAAAATATTCAAAAAAATAATTATCTCATCTCATGTATATCAGAATGCGACAAGTTATATGTCGAATAAAAATGAACATAAAAATCACAAAAGCTGAACAAAGATTCGGATCCTTAAGCCATACACGATGGAAGGAATAGAAGAAAATATTAATAAGATGCATGAATAATACACCAGCAAATATAGTGCACAAAATATATTTAAAAAATATCAAGATAGTTGCCAAAGAGTTTATTATAATATTTATTTAATAGAAAGTAAGAAAATGTTTGGAATATATTACAATTTTATTGTCAATTGAATGGCAAGCTGAGAAACCAAATAAATTGATTTAGCTTTGAAGAAAGTTGCGATTGAAATCTTTGATGTAATTAAAATTTTTCTAGCACTTTTAAAGCTTATCGTTGCTTCAAGAAAAATCTAGTTTAAAAGGTTCTTTTGGTAAAAA